CTACCAGCTCCGCAAACCATTAACCAACTGTGAATTAGATGAATTCTTTATATTATTTATTTGTATTGTGTCAACCATGCCGCAGGGCTCCATTGTGCTAGGCACAGTTCAAACACCTATCTGAACAGAGTCCCTGTCCCTAAATGCTTACAGTTTAACTAACCCTGTCATGTCGGTAGTAAAGATCCTGCAATCAGAATTTAGTTCAGGAGTGTATGAGGCAGAATAGAATCCAGGTCACTATCTCAGAGCTGTATTGTCTCTGCAGTCCTAAGCATACATCACTCACAGGTATATAGGAAACATTTATGTTCATGATATATATATATATATACATACAGAGAGAGAGAGATTTTAAAATGTGTCTCTCCAAAGCTCAAGGGACATGAATAAATCGTTCTGAGAAAAAAAAAAAACATTCAGATTTCCATTTGGCTGATTGACCAGGTCAGTGATCCTTCCCAATGTACAAAACCAGGACTTCTTCCATAAATCATCAACACACTGAGACAAAGCCTTGGTAAGAGAATGAGGCTTTGCAACAAGCCTTCAAAGTCCAGAAGACTGGTGGGAGTCTGTTGGAACAAGACGGGAGTGAGTTCCATAATGGAAATCCTTTCTATGGAATTACCACCTTGGCACTGGAATCTGGGGCTTATCAATTAGAGAACATCGGCTGCTCTCAGCTGCTGTGGTACTGCATGAGAAGAGGGCTAGCCTCTAAGTCGGAAGATGCCATCTTTATACAGTCACTTTTCCAGCCACAATTACATTCTGAGGTCTGTAATGTTATGGTAAAATGAATATAAATCTGTATCCCTGATTTCACTATTTAAGGACATTCAATATGTTTTCATTGTGCTGTAGCTGGCTCCTTGCGTGTGTTGACAGAATGGCAAACCAGATAGTTCGTGCCACGCAGGTTGGGTTTGTATTCCTTTTCTTTTTAAATTTCAGGTGTATCCCATCGTTGACTTCCCTAAACCAGAGATTTCCCTAGCTTCACAGAGAGCCATCACAGAGCATAATGCAGCATTTGCTACATCATCACGCATTCTACAGCAGGTAAGCCAGATAGTAAGACCAAGGGTAAAAGGTGTGGGGATCTGATTCAAGCAAGCCAAGGTTGTGGAATTTAATGCCTGATCCAGTACGCACTGACAGCAGTTGAAGTCAAAGAATCAGGTTCTTAGCCAGTAACACATATTGTAGGTCACACTTACAAGATTGGAGTCTGTATCCTGAAATGCAGAGACGCTGAAAAGGACTTAGGGGTAACAGTACATAACCAATTGAACCAATTGAACATAAGCTCCCAGTGTGATGCTGTAACTAAGAGGGGAAATGTGATCTGTGGATGTATAAGCTGGGGAAAATCAAATAGGTATGTGGTATTACCTCCTGATAATTTTGGACTGTGTTTATTTCATTAGATTTATTCGTGGAATTGATTAAAACCAGTGATGTTGGGGGAGGATGGTAGATGTTAATTACTAGGTTAGTCGTTTAAGAGCAATATCATTTTTGAGCAGATGTAAAGCACGATTTCTTTAAAAATCAGAGTTAAATCCCAGGGGAAATAACAGCTCTTGGTTCTAAAGACAAGAGAAACTTCTTTCCCCCTTTCCAAACAAAGTCATGGCAAATAAATTCTTTATTCTCCCGGATTAATATCCTAGCAGCTAATTTTGCATAACCATTATGTTCCATCAAGTCACATCTATTGCCTTCATTAGTTTGCAAATGCTAAATTATAGCTGGTACATACTGCCTTTTCCCTCTGGAAAGAGAAAAATGCCACCTTAAAAAAGAAAAGTAAATTAAGAGACCAAAATAAGCTAAAGGGGCAATGGTTTGATTTTCCATATGGTCTGTCAATCTAAAATCAGCTCTTTGGCAAGCTCGTGCTTTCCAAATTAATTCCAGGCGATAATCTCCACTTCTCACTATCAAAAGCAGTTTGTTCACTAGATTGGGACACACCATCCAAATGCCTCCTCTAGCTGCCTGGGAAAGCAGGTGTTGAGAAGCTCTTTCAGTGCCAAATCTCCCAGACCATGTGTTGTTTACTTAGGTCTGGGCTGCATCCTGCCGGCCCATTCCTCATTACTTAATTCTTTGCACCCTCCACTTGCTCTTGGCTAAAGTTCTACCACTTAATAATCAGCATCCTTTGGAAGAGAAGAGGAGAAACACCTTTTACTGCATATTTGCTTGGCTGCTGGCATTCCAGCTTTTTATGAAGTCGGCCATATGATGGAGATAAATATTGTGCCCATAAACATTCCGTAGGCTCAGCATGACAACAGTCTGGCAGTTTTTGCTTGCTTCATTTAGTTGTGTTTAGAACACTGACTTTGTGTGTAACACATCAGGGTGGACAACTGAGGATCATTACTTACTGAGAGCAGGAGATTACTACTTAATCTACCACAGCTATTGCATTCTTCTCCTCTGCCTTTTTAATTTGTACTAAACTAGATCCCAGTTGCATTATCTTAGCTTCAGCACTGGATGGCAGTGTCTTTTCATAACAAATGTTACCAGTGGAGATGTACACCTTTGCAAGGCTGAATGGAATAAAGAAAAAGAATTATGTAGTCAAATGGTTTGACTGAATGCATGCTTTCAAAACACTACAGACTAGTGAACAGGCATTTAGCTCAAGGTGTTAGCAAACAGGCATTTAACCCGAGCGTTAGCTTCCTGTGCAGACTTTTTTCTGGCATGGCCCCTCATTGAAATATTTGGACTTGATTAGTTATTTCTAGCTGTTGAAACATATTCGCCAAAATGTCTCCAACAAGATTTTGTCCCAGGTAACTCCCTAATTGGCACGTGTGATTTATCTGCAGCTTTCAGCACAGATCCTCAAAATGTTTTACATGGGTATAGTGATCCCAACCCACTCACACCATTTCACAGATGTGCGAACTGATGCACAGAATTGTTGAGTGAACTGCCCAAGGCCATGCAGCTAGTTGGGATGAATCAGCTCAGCAGTGATGAGTCTGCAGAGGCCAGCGTGGCAAATCTGCTAATGGTGATTCTGTGACTGCTCTTTCCCTCCCTCACACCCCAGCAGAAGTGAGTGATAGGGCCATCAGAAGATGCAGTTGGGCAGAGTCTGGGGCAGAGTCAGGGTGTCTTTGGCCCAGGGAAAAGAGTGGCATTGAAGGCATTGAGATGCAACAGGGAACCCACTAGTGATAGAGTCTTAGCAGCTGAAGTACCTACAGTGCTTATCTCAGCTGTGGTACAACTGGTGTCCTACCAGGGACTGCCTTAGATGAGGTTTGGTACCATGACGCCCCGAAAGACCGACATTCACACAGTTACTGACTGAGCCATGAATAGAATCCTGGAGTCCCAGCTCTCTGTTCTAGCCACTGGACCACACTGTCTCCTAAACCTCTTCCACTCTTTGCGACAACTCACCCCTAGACCCAGATTTCTATATGCTCCAAAGACAACTAATGTGCTCATCTTTGCCTTTCTCAATACTACTTCTTTACTAACATGCTAACTCCCCAGGAAGATGCTGATCCTTCAAGAGGAAGACCAAGTATTTGCGGTCATTTCTTTGAACTACTGCTGAAATGTTTTGTGAGACCAACATTTGAAGGGGACACAACCAATCTGCATTAGTGACACTTTATGCTATAAAAGGCACCAAACTCCTAGAAGATGGTTGTTTCTGTGATTCACAATCTTCTTGAGTTCCAGCAGAAGTAAAATGTACCCAAACATATTCTTGAGGCCCTTATACTGGGTGCAAGAATTTTGCAAGTTTCCTAAGAATTCTTCCATTAGGGGAAGAGAGTGGCATGGAATTTATGGCAGTTCTGTGGTTCTGTGTGCCTCTTCTTGCTAGAAGGGGCTCTCACGGGCCAGTACACCAAGAATCCACCCTCCAAAAAAATCAGGTTGCAAAGAGGGAAAGGTGGGTGGATTAATGCTAACAAGGTCAGCATTAAACTTCACAAGAACTCTGCTGGGTTGTACATTGGTAAGTATTATGCTGGGTTGTATGGAGGATTGGGAAATAGGATACCGTCTGTGCAGCATGTCCCTTGTTTGCATCCTCCCCATCCACATATCTGGAAGCCCGCAGAGCCCTTGTGTCTTTTGAGTAAGAGAAAGAGAGAACAGTGCTACTAAGACATACTTCCTCCTTCCAAGCCACGAGGGTAAGGATCCTGCAAACACCTCCCACTTACAGTCTATATAGCCCAGACAAGAGAAAGGAAGTATTATCTCCATGTCAAGGAACCGAGGCACAGATTGCATGACTTGGTAGGTCACATAGGAAGTCTGTAGCAGAGCCAGGATGTGAAGCCAAATCTCCTGAGTCCCTTAGCCCAGCACCTTAACTCAGAAGGATGACCTTGTGGCTATCTTGAGTACTTATATAGGCCCCATCTCCATAGGGTCTGAGCACCTCACAATCTTTAATGGATTTATCCTTACAACATCCCTGTAAGGCAGTGCTATTATCCCCATTGTACAGATGGGAAACTGAGGCACGGGTAGACTCTGGCTTGCCTAAGGTCTGTAGCAGAGCACAGAATTTAACCCAGGTCTCCTGAGTTCCAGGCGAATGCACTAACCATTGGCCCATCCTGATTCTTTCTTTTATAAAAGATATGAGAAAAGAAAATCTGCCACTAAGGGCAGGATGGTGAGATAAATATTGTATAATATATAGAAGGATGCCCTGCTCTGACTATAAAGGGATCACTATGAGCTTCCTGTATAAAAACACATCTAATGAACTAGTTTTATTAATAAACGGTAAGTCACTACAGAAAAAGATTACCAAAGAAGTGTGTGTTCACACATATGCTACTCAGGCATTATAGGCATAAACTTTAACAGTATATAGTGTAAGTTCACTATAGTAAAACTGAATCTAAATAATGGGGGATGAGCAATAATACAAGGAAGAAACAGGTCTAAGAGCTCCATTAAATGTTGGGTCGGAAGAATAAGAACAAGAATAATCCTTATTCACTTTGCAAAAATGTGTCTAGTTCCCTGAGCATCTGAAAAACTTTAGATAGTACTGGTATTTGGCTGAGAAAAGAAAAAAGATGAACTAGGAACCAAAGGGGAGGGCTAACTCAGTGGTTTGAGCATTGGCCTACTAAACCCACAGTTGTGAATTCAATCCTTGAGGAGGCCATTTAGGGATCTGGGACATAAATCTGTCTGGGGATTGGTCCTGCTTTGAGCAGGGGGTTGGACTAGATGAGGTCCCTTCCAACCCTGATATTCTACAATTCAGTTGGAAATTGATTACAGACAAACTAAATCAAAAAGAGAACTATAACCAGATAGCATAAACTGTATATAACTGAAAAGCAGGTAGATTGCAAGATAGTAAACTTTGTGTAGAAAGAGACTGTGTATTTTGAAACCACCCATTTAATTTTCTTTATGCTGTAGGAGCACTGTAGGTTAGAGAAGGCCTGAGCAACAATCTTTCGCTCTAAATCTGAACCTCCCCAACATTCATGGGCTCCTGGACTGGAGATCTTGATTTGGTACATTGCTGAAAGAAGAAACAGCCACGGGTCCAAACTTTTCCAGGGTTTGGTTCACATTAGAAAGGGTCAAGACCTATTGAACCCTAAAGCCTCTCCGCCCTACAAGGGGAAAACATATTCCAATAAGAGACATGCCACATAGTAAAACATACCAGTTTCTCTTAGCCAAAAGGCTGATCCTATAGTATAATGTTCTCCTCCCCCATTCAGATTAGGCGCTATCTAGGACAACTGTGTAGTAATGGCTGATTTTTTAGTGTTATCTACTGTAGAATATTTTATAGAAAGAACAAGGGTAGCTATATTAAAAGTGAAGGTTTAAAAAGTTTAGCAGCTTTCTTCCCACATGCCATGGTAGAAATGCTCCTAACAATCTTTATTTGAGAGCAGGGGGATGGGGCTACATGGAATGGGGGCTGAAAAGACTCTGCAACTGTAATTTAATGGACCAAACTATGCCTTCTCTAGGCAATCTCATTGTCTAAAAGCTTGTAATCTGTGGCTCTGATCATGCTGCGGCTTATTATCTATATACTTCACTTTAAAAAAAAAGTCTTAGGCCTT